GTTCTTTTTCCGCGGAAAACGACCATAACGCGGAAAAACAACTAAAACGACAAAAATATTTTTTTTTTACCAAAACACGTCATGTGGGTACTCAAATTAACCGGAATATTAAGCAGATCACGACTATGCAAGAATCTTTTGGATCCGAGGTCAAATAAGCGAGATTTTCACGTAAATATGCAATGCTATTTTGGATTTTTGCTCCAACTTTTGTCTGTGTTAAAATACCAGCTGATCACGATCAGCTGGTCATTATTTTATTATAATTGTTTATGTTTTAATTTAACAGGTAAAAGGGATGATACTAAGCATAACCTAACTTAACCTAACCTAACCTAACCAACCTAACCTAACCAAACTAACCTAACCAAGCTAACCTAACCTAACCAACCCAACCTATTCTAACCTAACCAACCTAACCTAACCAACCTAACCTAACCTAACCTAACCAACCTTACCCAACCAACCTAACCTAACCAACCTAACCTAACCAAACTAACCTAAACAAGCTAACCAACCTAACCTAACCTAACCAACCTAACCCAACCTAACCAACCTAACCTAACCTAACCTAACCAACCTAACCAACCCAACCTAACCTAACCAACCTAACCTAACCAACCTACCCTAACCTAACCTAACCAACCTTAACCAACCAACCTAACCTAACCTAACCTAAACAACCTAACCAAACTAACGTAAACAACCTAACCATCCTAACCTAACCTAACCCAACCTAACCAACCCAACCTAACCAACCCAACCTAACCTAACCAACCTAACCTAACCAACCTACCCTAACCTAACCAACCTTAACCAACCAACCTAACCTAACCTAAACAACCTAACCAAACTAACGTAAACAACCTAACCATCCTAACCTAACCTAACCAACCTAACCTAACCTAACCTAACCAACCTAACCTAACCTAACCAACCTAACCTAACCTAAAAACCCCGAATTCCATCCTGTCCCCTAGTGAGTTGGGAGTTATTGCTGGTAGTATCACGTTTTCGTAAAAATCTCGCTTATTTGACCTCGGATCCAAAAGATTCTTGCGTAGTCGTGATCTGCTTAATATTACGGTTAATTTGAGTACCCACATGACGTGTTTTGGTAATAAAAGTTTTTTTGTCGTTTTGGTCGTTTTTCCGCGTTATGGTCGTTTTCCGCGGAATAAGAACGTCATTTTCGGAATCAGCGTTAAATTTCGAGTAGAATGAAAAAAAAAATTTCAAAAATCGCGTGCAAACCTTAAAATGCATATTTACCAAAAGAAAAGTCCGGAAAGTTTAGAAATACCGAAACTATAAACACGAAATGACAGGTTAAATCGTAGTTATAATAGTCAATCAGCTGCTCATAGTATTATTATCTTTAAGTATTGCCAACCTATTTCCAAGCGTACACGGATTACGCGCATAATAGAATCACGCTGTTTTGTGTTGTTTCGTTGGAATCCTGATGTGCGGCAAAGTATAAACCGTACAGCAAAGTATAAACCGTACGGCAAAGTATAAATATGCAGCAATAAGCAGCTTTCTGTACTATAAACAGTACAAGGAAGCCAACTTTGTCGGGTGACTGTAGGAAAACTTATTTTCATCACTCTGTATTCGAAAATAGCCCATTTCCATACATCTGAGATATTCGAAAATCTTAAATTTCCATACACCAAAAACAAATCGTGTTCAGCTGACTTTTCCTGACATAAAAATTACTTTCGCTACACAATCAATACTTTGCCTGACATCAACAAAGTTACAATCAGCTGAGTTTTACACTAAAATTAATTGTACAGCCTAATTGTGTTTAGATTTGAAAAATGAACAGATTACGAAATATAAGATAATTTTTAAGTTTGATGAAGTAGTTTTTTTTTTCGTGATAAAAAGTATCGTTCAATACTCGTCACGAAAGTTCCATTTCGGGGCTCGATAGTGTTTCCAATGTTCGTCTTCGACTCACATGTAAAACACTATCTCGCCCCGAAATGGGTTACTTTCGTGACTAGTAGTGAAATACTGTATACTATTACCTACAGTTACCTGACAAAGTGGGCTTCCATGCACTGATTATAGTAGCTAATTGCTGTATTTACTTACTTTTGCCGAACTCGTTTTACTTTTCCTCACTCACTTTTTGCCACACTCCAGTATTCCAACCAAACAAAACAAAACAGCGTGCTTTTATTTGGCACGTAATACGTGTACGCTTGAAAATAAGCTGGCAACATTTAAAGATATCACGACTACGATCAGCTAGTGCAGCGTTTCCCAAATGGTTCAATGTTTGGATTTAACCTAACCTAAAAACGTGTCGTACAGTGTTTGAAAAACTAATTTTTTATATGCCTTATATTAACTGTAGGAAAATATAATGGGTAACGCGAGTGCAAACTGCCTTTGCTGCACTAGAGAAACTTTCCTCACCCGCCAACGGCTCGTGCGTAGACATTTTTCTCTCATGTGCAGCAAAGTTCCACTTCGCCCACTAGTTACACAACTAGCTATATTCTTTATGTTAAATCCATCACATTTACAAAAGTAAAGGTTGGCTCAGCAATAACACACTTTTTCTCGTTTCATTAAAATTACTCTTCTTAATTAAAAATCCACCACAGCTGGTCCAGAGGATATACTTCAGTATCGAAAAGTGTTTGTTTCCTATGAGATAACACCACGACTAAGTAGTTCCAAGTCGCTGTAGGTTCGTTTACAAAGGATGGTAAATAATGGGATTTTCTCCGTATTTAAGTAGTTAATTTACCAAATTGTATTAGTTATTACCAGAGCAAGTATATTCTCTCTTTTCTTATGGAACACGATAGAATATTTAGGTAATCGTTTGAATATGCAACTAACTTATGAAAACATAATGATGCAAGTATAAGTATACACAACGGTAGATATTTCAAAAACATAGTATTTTTATTGAATAGGCCTACTATACATATTTTGAAGAAATTCAACATGTTAAAAAAAGAAGAGTAAAGCGAATGCCAAAGAAATTTAAATTGGAAACCAATTAATTCAACTCTTTTTATCGAAAAGCCTCTGTGTTTAAAGTTAACTACAGGCCAATCAATAATATAATATACTCCTATAAATATTTACTTTTTAAAATTTTCCACACTCAAACGGTGTTTAAAAATAACGTTTTTTTACTTTACCTTCACAGGTATAAATTATTTTTACATTTTTGTGCAATATTTAACATTTACAGCAACAACTCAAGCCTTTCTTTCAATTTACCCAATTCAACGTGTTGATTATCCATTTTTCAATAATGTCTTATTAGTTCTCACTTAGCTAGTATAATCTTTCAGCCAGTGACATAGCTTACAAAATATAACATTACGCTGTCATATTATAATACAACTTTAATTGTATTGCAATGTATCTTTACGCCACACTACATTATTTTGACGAACTTCCCACGCAAATATTTAGTCCAGAAAACAGCTGTTTGCCGCCGGCTTATTCAAATGGGGTTTCATTGCGTACTACTGTACTGCAATGAGTTTTACCGGACACCAATCAGCTGATTATACTGTATTTAGGTGGCAATGAATGGTTATAAACAAAAACATAACCTCTCTTAGAGATTATGACTAGTGATTTTTAGTCCTTTAGTTGGTGGAAATATATAAGGATTTGTAGGGATTTAGTAGTATGGCGTAAACTATCGTACGCAACTCGTCCAAAATGTGTGTACCGGACTCGTATGGTAATCCCGTACTCGACTAATCCGTCTCGCACGGGAACGACCACACTCGTCCGGTAAACACTTATTTTCAGGACTAGTAACGTAATATACTATTACACTACATAAACGATGAAATATTGTATATGAGTTACGAGAAGAGACGCCTTCCATGACAAACGACACTAACTCACGCAATATGTTGATTGTGTGCGTGTGACACTACAAAACAGCTGATCGTTCGATCAGCTGATAGCTTACTGTTGCGTCTTCACGTTGTTGTTATCTAAATTACTCGTATTTAATTCATAAAAACCTTGAATCTTTCTTTCTTGTTAGGAATCTTTCTTGAAAGAAACCTTGAATCTTTCTTTCTTCAAAAGAATTATCAGGAATAGTTGGGTAGCTAAGTGGTTATACTAAGCACAATAAACATAAGGTCGCTTGTTAGATAAGGTCAGTAGTTTTTGAGGGTTCGAAACTGGTCCTTGCTGCTGATAAATTGTTTTTAAAATAGAATCAGTTGGTCGTATTTTAACGACAAAACTACGCACTTTCCATAACCCTACATTCATTTTCAGCTTTGAATGCGTACATGGTTGCTGTCTTAATAAAAGGATTCAGCACAACTCACATTGACGACTGAAATTGAGGGAGCTTGGGGAAGTTTAAAATCTTGAGTCTTGAAACTAAAATGAGTTAAAATCAAACAAATGCCAATAAACGATTATTGCAAAGATTCCTTTTTTCCACGAATAATGAGGATAATTGATATTTTATGGATACAGCAAAATTAATTTAGGGATTATCACTCAAATAAAGAAACAAAACAATTGATTACAACATACTAGCAGAAAGGAGAAAATTTATCCATGAAGATTATTAAAATAAAAATCTTTGCTGTAGAGTGTAGACAATTGATAAAAAATGCTCAGGCTAAAGAACAAGGTGTTTTCTTTATTGGTTATTCTTTAAAGTTCAAAACAATATGAACAAACACACTTAACTAATTACTTTCTTGTACTTGATTTCATGCTGTCACAAAATTATTGTGTGTAAAAAATATTTTCCGCACACTTTTGAACGTCTTAATTGCACCCTTACAATTTGTATGTAAGCAAATTAATTCAACCCCTAACGAATCTTTCCCCTAGACCCGTTTCATCCCTTCACATGAATGGCACTTGGGGCGGGTGTGGCGAGGGGGGAGGGTACAAAAAGCGCAAGTCCGAATTAGGGAGAGGTCCAGTTGAGTGTGCCCATCGACCTGACGACATGTACCCCATGTTCTGGTCGAACTGTGTGATATGTACTCATAGGATATTTAACGTGTGTACAGTAGTAGGGACTCTGTAGACTAGACCTAAGTTTAATCTGTGTTGAGCCTGGGACCAAGTGTTGGATCATTGATTTTCTCATGTGGCGTGCCTCCATTCACTCGTGGTAGGTCAAATTGATTTTTAAGGTCATTTGGATATTCCAAATGTTTACAGGATTTAACACTTTGAATAATCAATATGAAAGTATATAAGGTCAATTAGTATGATTATGATCGATTGGTGTCAAGATAAATCACACTTTGAATTTTTATTCTGAATTTCCCAGAACGTGGCCGTGGAATTAAAGGGGAACATAATAAGTTTTTTTCAAAAATTTCGATGAATATTTTTTAAACATTTTAATGGTTTGATTAGTTATAAAGTATTGTATATTTCTGCTGTCTTAATTGGATAACCTTACTGTATTAATTAAATGTTCTCACTGTTAATTGGATATTATACCGGTATTGTCTTAACTCTAAAATTATTTGCTGTCTTAATTTGATACTCTTAGTCTTACTGTCTTAATTGGATACTCTTACTATTACTGTCTTAATGGGATACTCTTAGTCTAACGGTTTTTACTGTCTTAATTGGATGCTCTAGTCTTACTGTCTTTACTGTCTTTATTGCATACTCTATAGTCTTACTGTCTTTACTGTCTTAATGGGATACTCTTATTGTTACTGTCTTTACTGTCTTAATGGGATACTCTTATTGTTACTGTCTTTACTGTCTTAATTCTTACTGTCTTTACTGTCTTAATGGGATACTCTTAGTCTTACTGTCATTGCTGTCTTAATTGGATACTCTTAGTGTTACTGTCCTAATTGGATACTCTGAGTCTTACTGATGTCTTTACTGTCTCAATGGGATACTCTTAGTCTAACTGTTTTTACTGTCCTAATGGGATACTCTTAGTCTTACTCTGTCTTTACTGAATGGGATACTCTTAGTCTTTACTGTCTTAATTGGAGACTAATAGTCTTACTGTCTTAATTCGATACTCTTAAGGTCTTACTGTCTTTACTGTCTTAATTCGATACTCTTAGGCTTACTGTCAGAAATGTTTTAATTCGGTACTCTTATAGCCTTACTATCTTAATGCGATAATACTCTTAGTCTTACTATCTTTACTGTCTTAATTGTGATACTTCACTTCTACTGTCTTTCTTTAAACGTAATGTTACTACTGAATGTGAATTTTAAAATGGCTAGAAGAGGATGTTAGTGAAAGCATAATTTTTAAATATGTTAAGTTTCTACTATCAGAGAACTAATGATTCCAAAATAACAGTAAAAACTTGTTGCCTGTCAGAAAGTATTAAAAACCACGTCAAGTTTTTTATATCAAAAGACAACAGATCTAATTTCTACTTTCTATGTAGATCTCTTGGATCTTCAGTAATCCCTTTACTTATGCAAATCTAGAATTAAGTATTTCAACATATAGATGTCTTCAGGAACATTATTTATTGTAACCCCAAATAACATACCTCAGCCAATATAAAACTCTTATAAATTTCATAAAAATGATTACAGATAAAACATTTTTTAATTAAAACAAATTAATTTACATTTTGTACCGCCAAGGTATGCAGTCGTAATGGTTTGGAGAAGAGATTCTAATCTATGATGTATGACTTGTAATACAAAATATTTAGTAATAATTTACTCAATACAAATATAAAATAATGGTATAATAAGAAGTATATTATTAGAGTGTTTTGTTTACTTTTACTGTAAATACATTGTGGTAATGTCCAAAAGATACATGGCTTTCAATAAGCATAGCTCCTTTTTACTAAATTAAAGTTTCAGCTTTACGATTATCAAGGGTTATATTTTTATGTTGCAGATAGCAGAAGTGGAGGATATAGGAGACAGCCATGACTCATGACCAAAAGTAAGTTAACCTAGTAAATTGTTTTACCTCCTAAAAAGAGTCAACACAGCCAATATGTGAATATGTGATATGAGTCAATATGTGGTTTCCATTACTATCAAATTTACAAATTCACTAAATTTACCAATTTTAATTGTAGTTATAGGTAGCCCTATTTAACAAATTTTCACTCTCTCCGCCTATACACATCCACATACATATAGTTTTTTGTGTATATGGAGGAAGAATTGTTTTGTCAAAATTTTAAGTTTGAGTGGATATATCCGGAAAGTATATAAAAGAAACGTCTTATAACACTTAAAACATATATTTACGCTTATACTGTTACTCAAAAGACGGTAAATATACAAAAAAGATGGTAAGTGGTGATTGATTTCGATTGGACACTCCAATCATCATCAGATCCGATAAGCAAATTGACGTCATTGAAAGCTAACAGACCACACATGTAGCCCAATTTTGATTAAATTTGGTATGTAGGTACTAATCCATGGTATCTCCAGGAGCTTTTTCATTTAAAAAATGTTTTGATTTTTTTATGGTGATTTTCCCATTAAAACCCATAAAACGGAAAAATCTCAATTTCTCAAAATATGGCCCAACCAATTTGATATAAATTTAGCATTTTATAGAAATTTTAATTCTTAGAAAAATGGGTCAACTCGCTGTAAAAACCACGGTTCAAAAGTTATTGTAACTTATGATTTTTTCTCATCAAATAAAAGAAAATCTGATTTTCAAAATAAGCTATTTTTGATTAAAAACTAATATGTAATGGTCCTTCAACAAAATAGTGAAACTAATTGCTGTAAAAATTTGGGTTGAAAGTTATTGCAATTTCCCCTATAAAGGGACATAGTTACTCCCATTGTTACTCCCAATGCTCAACAATGATAAAGGTAGTTGACAAGCTAATGGGAGAATATATGTGTCAGATTTCTGATACCATTTATTTTTTTATGGAATAAACCATGATAGAATCAATAATTTTTCAATAGTTTATTTTACCTGCTATGAGTGGAGGTAAGTAGGAAATAACTGTGGTTTGAATCTTTTGGGGTCCATTTTCAAGTATCAATGTCAAACAAGAACAATGTCTCAACCTTTGAAGTAGGATGGGCTCATTAACATCGTTTTACAAATTAAGGTGGACAAGAACAGACAATAGAATGAATTAAACAAGTAGGCAATGACTCAGTGAGCCAGTACAATTTTGGCTCACTAGCACTCTTGGAAAATAGTACATAATATTCTTCAACAAATACAAATTGTTAATAACAAAATGTAAACAAAGAAAAATCAAGGAAACAATAATAAATCAGCTGTTAAATTACTAACACATGTTTCATTTGATCAGATGATGCATACCACAAATGAAGCCATTCAAATAATAATTTTAAAAAGCTGTCCGGTAGAACTGTGTGGATTTAATTGTTGAAAGATTGAAAATATTTCTAATTCAGAATTTTCTCACCACTATAAATTTGGAAGCTGCTAACCCTTTTGCTAACTTATGGTGAGGAAATATACCAAAGTGGAAGGTGATAACTGAAAGAGAATAAAATTTCCTACAAATTACCATGCTTTTCTTGAAAATACTCAATAAAGGTAGCCAAAAGTTGTCTCCAAATAAAACATGTGAGACCTCTATTTTCCAATGAATTTCTAATGGAAATCATGTTTTTTTCACCATAAATCCTAACAAAAAAAAACTAACATAACCATTTACTAATCTACAGGAAGTGGGCTTTACAACGCATTAATTAATAAAATTAGTCCAGTAGAACTGTAGATTTAGTTGTACAAAGATTTTTTTAACTGAATATTAAGAGTAGATGTGCATGCGTGAATGAATCATGATTAATCATCCAAACTATAAAAAATTTTTGAATTTGTTTATTAATTAAACATTTAACATGTGTAGCCAATCCAATACAATATTGATTTATTTATGGTGGGTTCAACCATCCATCATATCAATACAGATAATCTGTACTATTGGAGGCGTGAAAATATAAACATAAAGTGTGTGTTCTGTCTAACAGTGTAGGTTCAAGTTTTGAATAAGTAGTGAGTGAGTGAGTTTTTGATAGACACTAAATTAAATTCAATAATTTCAAAACTGTAAAATTTGAAACTTGTATCAATGCTACTATACCCAGAATATATTTTAAGGTATGATATTTTAGCAAATTATGTTCACCATTATTGCAATATTTATTTTATGGAAGTAAATTTGTATTTTGTGAAAAATGCATGTGTATATTCGGTTCTAATCTTATTCTAATGAGTATAACTTATGAAATGAAATTACTCTTATATGCAGCAAAGTGGTTTATATGACTAAAAATATTTTCCCCTTCTACAGGTTTTAATTGGCTGATTATGGTGCTCTGAATATTTTACAAAATCAACTCCATAGACAGTAAAAACAGCTGATGCCACTTAATATATTTCAGTATTGACTTTGAATGATTATTGTAGGATTCTTATCCCCCCATGTAAAATCTTTAGTTTGTTTTAGTGTATCAACGCCAAAATGTTCCTCTTTTAATTCAGTTTCTATGTTACATCCTTTGTGTTTTGCTCTGTGTTTAGTTTATTACATAGAAGATAAGTTGTTGTTTACAAGTACATTGTAAAAGTCTTATCCAGTTGTTAAAGTTAGGAAAGTAACCTATCAAAAAGGAGAAAACATTTCACTTAAGTTATTGGAAATAAACACACTTTAAAGTCTTCTCCAGCAATTCCATGAGGATATTTGAACGGATCTTCATAAAGCCTAAGTATGATTTCATTTTTAATACTACATCCAATTCTTGGCACTATGGCTGTCTAGCAAAGATTCTTTTGAATGTACTTCATGGTTTAGGTTGTCTCATTTGACACCTAGAAACATGGGTCCACCCAATTCCCCCCATTCATAACACCACATTACCATAAACCCTTAGCAATATGGGATTGTCCTTGAATGCCATGATGTTCAGGGGCCTCATATTGCTAAGGTTATAACAATTTTAGTGAGTGACACAATAAAAATAAACATTTTGAGCTGAGCCTCCAACGGATGGCGTTGATGTCATTATTGCTGATTTCTGTTGTACGCCAACTTGTTAAGCAAAGTATGTCTACTCTGGAAATTTCAAAGTCAATGGCAAAATGCATGTTAAAATATTTACAGTAGATTGTTGACCTTCTAATTTTTAACGATTCAATAATGAAATGAGGAACTTCCTATCATACAGTTACTAAATCCTAAACCAAGGTTTACACTCCTTTTTAAATTTAAGTACATGTACCATAATTTATTTATCAAAGTTAAGTGCATAAATTTTATCAACCATTAAAATAAACATATTATTTATTTCAGGACCAATGGGGGCAAGGGTCAGAATGACAAGGCTCAGTTTTCAATGCAGATGTCCAACTATGCGGAGGACTCGGGGACACCATACGATCCCCACGAGCACAGGAACCAAGAAAACCCGACAACGTAAGTAGAATTACCAAAATTTATACTGTCTTAGCCACATTATTACTTCCCTACCCTGTGTGTTCCAAGATTTAAAATATTATTAGCAATTGAGATGGGGACCAGACCCGCGGCTTGCATGTGATGCGCTATTGGCCCGAGAGTTTATTGCGCTCCCACGTACCTTGAGGGGGAATTTGTCTCTTCCTTGTACCCCTGACAAACCTAAAACCTAAATTGGGCTTTTATTTGGTTCTGGAAGGAAAAACAGCTGATCTTCAGTAACAAAGCTGTTATCTCAATCAACAATCATCCTTCAATCATCTTAAAATACTTCACCCCAAATTTACTTTATGTTTATATTTCTAAAATACACACCCTGATGTGTCAACATTATGTAATCTAATCTACTAATTTATTTCCATCCAGAGATCGTGAGACGCTGATCCACTTGCTCAAGGGATGTCTGGGTACAGGTATCCTCGCCATGCCCAACGCCTTCGGAAATGCAGGGTTGGCGCTCGGAACTGTAGCAACATTCATTATTGGCTTCCTCTGCACATACTGCCTTCATGTTCTTGTAAGTTCCCAAGTTTCTTGAGTGAACGATTTAGTTGTTTAAGAAGGTTATAAATTCTCCCTAAGACATCACAGAGTAAGGTATGGAGGAAACTTGCTGGTCGGGACCGAGTTCTTTCAGCTCTAGTATGTTGTGAGTACACACTAGGGAAAATATACTCATGACAAGCAAAGAAGAGCCCAAGCGGTGAGCACTGTGCAGACTTTCGTATCGCACAAGGCTCAGGGTCTTCCTCCACCATGAGTCTTGCAGTGTGATAGCGAGGGTGGGAAGGAGTGCGAGGGGGAGAAGCGACTAGTGCTAAACGCCAGTGGCTTGTGCTAGACACCACTTAAGTGCATCATTCAATATTCCCTCATTCCAATATATTCCATTCCCTCTGTCCCTAACTTCCTGCTTCTTAGTATAACTTTGTCCAACCTGTTTATGGAACTTGTGATGTCATTGTCAAACAAGATGTACGGATAGTCAGTAAAAAATTAACAATAAACGTTAATGGTAAAATTGTTGAGGCTCTGGGGTTTGATCAATATCTTACTCTGTCAGATACCAGTCAGATACCTGTAAGCATAAAGTTGACTAGATTATCCGAAATGTGTTCAATTCATTTAACTCAAAACTTGACTTAGGTTAGATGCTTTGATCTTTACAATCACCACTTTCAGAACTGTTTAAAACTATAGTTACAATATTTACAAACTACCTTATCAATATAAAGCCAAACAAAGAGTTATTTCTTGTTCTTCATTCCTAGGTTACCAATCAGTACCAGATGTGCAAGAGATTACGAGTTCCGATCCTCAGCTATCCGGAGTCAATGAAGGTCGCTTTACAGCACGGACCCTCTATGTTCAGACCCTTCGCTAATATCTCTGCGTAAGTTACGTCCCAACAAGCATGTTTGTTTAGCTATTTCATACATAACTGAGAATTGGATCCTTGTGAAGTTATATAAGAAAGAAAGAAAAGTTAGATTTAATTGTTGGTGTTTACATTGTTTTAACCTGCTATTGCTAGTACCATTATATTGCCTTAAAGAAGTGGATAAGAGCTTGATGATGTAGCCCAAAATGAACATTAAGAATTAAGGTTGTGAAATTTTGTGTTCATGTGTTTAGCTTTGCCTTGTCACACAAGAAACTTTAAGCGTGCACCAGAAAGAAAATGCCACTTTCTGTACTATTAATAAAATTTACTATTGATAGAAACCTAACAACTTTTTTTTTAATTATTAAGATGACTAATAATTTGATTTGATTATACTGATGTAAAATTTTCTAAATTTTTCAGGCAAAACATTCATAGTTGAAGAATTATTTGATGTTGTTATTCATTTATCTGTTTATTTTCAGACCAATTGTTGACTTTTTCTTGATCCTGTACCAACTTGGAATCTGCTGTGTTTATATCATGTTTGTTGCTGAGAACATCAAAGAAGTAAGTTTGACAAAATATGAAATACATTAGATAGATTTGGAGTAACAAAACCCAAATGTAGGAAGGAAATAACAGAGTTCGGTTGTTATGAATTGCTTAACTGACTTAAATAGTCAGTTAAAAAGTTCATTGATAGATAGGAAAACATTACAGGTACAGGAGGGGCCGCTTGTTTGGTCTTCACTATTGATAATTGGAGAGAGGAGGAGAAGAAATCATACAGTAGGCCTAGTGTCCTTTAATGTTTGTACCACCATACATGAGTATGATTATGTGGTTTAAATGTTTCTTAGGAGTGAAAAACCACAATTCTAACCAGTCCACAAGTATTACTGGTACCTTAGGTACAGAGGAAACACGCTTATGCACAACCGCACACTTTTCAGTTCTGGTATGTTGTGCCGAAAATATACTTGTGATGAGCGAGGAAGAGCCTGAAAGGCAAGCACTATGAACGGAAACTCCTATCCCACAGGGCACAAGGTCTTCCTCCACCGTGAGCGTTGTAGTACATGAGGGCGAGTGGAGGTGTTGGACTTTCTAAACACCATCAGTGAATAGTGTTCACCCAAGAGTACCATTAAATGTTTCCTCTGTACCTTAATTCTCTGTGCTGGTACTAAAACGTAATATTCAGCGAAGCACATAATCATTGTTAGACATTCTTGACTCTTTTACCGAGTCCTAATTCTTCATCTTCTCCAGGTGGCAGACCAATACTGGACGCCAATTGGTGTCAGGACGCACATGCTGATTCTGCTGATTCCGCTCATCCTGATCTGTTACATCCGCAACCTCAAGCTGCTGGCTCCCTTCTCCCAGCTGGCCAATGTCATCACATTCATCGGTATCGGCATCATCCTCTACTACATCTTCGACCAACTGCCTCCCGTCAGCAGCGCCAAACTTGTCGGGTCCGGGCAGAGCTTTGTGTTGTACATCGGAACTACTTTGTTCGCTTTGGAGGCCGTGGGAGTTGTAAGTTTTGGATTTTTTTCATAGGAGTTATATCAATAATTTTGTAGAATCTAATCCGCGAAGAAAAAAACTTCAAATTTAAAAAAATCACACTTGTAATTTTCTTTACATGTTGTGTCTTAAATCATAGGGTATGACTAAAGAATGGTACCTGAAATTGTTTACACAGTTATTGTGTGAATATTCTATGAAGTAAGACAAAATTACTTACGTAAAAAACCGTCAGTTCAAACAACATGTTATTCGGAACATGTTTTGGTGTTAAACACATTATCGTCAGCTTTAGGTAGTTGGAATTGGAAACATCAACTTATCAATATTACTTACCTTTACACAGGTGATAGCTCTGGAAAATAACATGAAGACTCCAAAATCATTCGGAGGCTACACTGGTATCCTGAACCAAGGTATGGCCGCTGTTACTGTCATGTACGTTGGTGTTGGATTCTTTGGGTTCATCAAGTACGGCAGCGGAGCTCGGGGAAGCGTTACCCTCAACCTGCCACAAGGTGAAATGTAAGTACAATTATTTATATTTCTATTTCCAATCTCCCTGGCTATACATTGTATAAGGAGGAAGAACTGTTTTTGTCAAAATGTTTGAGTTTGAGTTTTGAGTGGCTATATCCGTTTTGGGTTATCCTGGACCAAAAAAGTGGGTTCCGAAGTAATGTCTGCATGTGAGTGTGTCCGTTTACGTGGCTACATACTACGGCTTACGGTTTTGTCAAAAGTTTGTGATCCAAATTAGCTTTATATTTATTATAACAGTTGGTGTGAAAATAACCTACTGTATTCTCCAGCACCACAAATTTGCCAGTGGTTGAATTGAATTATGTCCAATATTATTCAAAACTACTACTAGCCACAATTAAAAATGATAATGTGTTTCGTACATTATTGTACCTTAAGTCAAATGTAATACTGTAATAACAATGCAAATGCTGATAGCAGAAAACTCAGGTAAAGCATCAGTTTCACTATTCTCAGGGTTGCTTTTTCTTATTAAAATTAAATTATACTTGTCGTTAATTGAGTTCATGTTACAGCCTAGCCCAGGCAGTAAAGATTGCGTTCGCCATTGCCATCTTCATCTCCTACGCTCTGCAAGCCTACGTTCCCATCGAGATTCTGTGGAACACGTACCTCAAGTCTCACTTGGAGCACAGCAGCAAGAAACTGTTCATTGAATACGTCATGAGAACTGTCATTGTCATTTTGACTTGTAAGTTCAATTTTTGTATGGTGTAGATAATAGTTGATTGGAATTTAATGAATGATGGTTTAGGAAGTTAAAAAGCCATAGACAAATAAATATAGACCGACAGCAGTGCTTTGATCTGCTTTGATGCGTTGATCTCTGGTTGTTTTTGTCACAAAACCAACCAACAATTCTGGTAAATACTGTACATTGAAATTGCTACAGCTGTTAATTTTGGAGGGCAAAAGTCCAACTCTCAAAAACCATGGTCGAGTCTTTGAATTACATTTCCTCCAATAATAAAAGGACCATTGGACCTGTAACTAAATCCTCTGGCCCACTTCTATATAATTTAATTTTTCACAATTTAGCCATAATTTCTTTATAACTGTTTGTTAAATCGTAAATCTCCCCCCTATTGGATATTAAACTAATGATTCTCCTCAATTTCAGTCCTGCTAGCCGCAGCCATTCCTCTTCTAGACCTGTTCATCTCCCTGTTCGGAGCTCTCTGTCTCTCCGCCCTCGGCATCGCCTTCCCCGCGATCATAGAGGCGTGTGTCGCACACTCCAACAACACCCTCAACTTCGGCCTTGCCCTCAAGGATATCTTTCTCGTCATCATCGGCATCCTCGGATTGGTCATCGGAACATACTGCAGCATGATCGAGATCGTCAAAGAACTCGGGAAAGAGTCGCCCGCACCCGTTGCGTTAAACGCAACAATGATCCCAACTTTGTAATTGGAGATCAGCAGTGTTTTAACTGTGATTAACTTTACAAAGATTTTCACGCTCAAATCATCGGGTTGGTGAAGATGGAAAAATGGAAAGGCGATAGTGAGAGACATTGAAATCCTGGTGGATTATTGTATACCAAAGCTAAGTAGCTTTAACGCTTACAATGAGGGACAAGATATTATACTGTAAGTACAAAAGGTTACCATTTATAACACCAGTCCAATTGTAAAATTTGATGAAATCACTTCACCCTTAGAAGTTCCTGTTGAAACTTAAGTCAAAACTAAACCAATATCATTTGACTTTTTGATGTTAGTAGAAAGTTGTGACTAAAAGTTAGCCAAAACTGGAGATAGCAAAAGGAACGTCATAAAACCAAGTCCTTAAAATCATCTTGACTTTTGATGTAATAATATTCTTAATTAAGTTGTAGTTGGCTTAAACTATTTTATTGAACCAAGGCTAGTCGATTCTTACATTTAGTTTTCTCATCCAATATAAAATGCGGGCCCAGAAGTAAAATTTGGTGAGAGGCCACTATCCATGACTTTGTCTTATGGTATACTCATTTTCTGTTTTACAGGGGTGATTTTTTACTAGAAATTTGTATACTATTTAATTTTATATTTCATGCTTTAAAATTTGGTTAACATATTAAAGGTGGAATTGTTTTCTATCTTTGAAAGCAATTTGTTAAGTGATCTTGTCAAGTTAATAATCCTGATTCTAAAGATACAGAATAGATATTTTCTGTAAACTTTTTACGGATTAAAGCCAAAGAATACAGTTTTTCCTCACAATAGAAAGGTAAGAATTTCATTGTAATTAAGTGTTCAAAACCAACAAAATGTCTTGAAATTGTTGAGCAATTTGTAGAAGTCAATGTTGTTAGCGAACAGTGTGTTCACCATATGCGTTCAATCAGCGATATTGATCAGGTATGTCACACAGCACAGCAAAAATGCCTTTAGACTTTCGCTTATTTCTAAGTATGATCAAGTAGACAAAGATAGACTGTGATACAAAATTTGATTTGCTAAAAAAATACCATAGTAAGCTAAGATGTGAGTTTTGGGTTATTCAAAGTATTTTAAGAGAACAAATCTATTACCGGTAGTGCATAAGATTATACTTGCTAATTAGTAGCATTTTGAAAGGTTTAGGATTTTAAAAGTCACCTGTTTTGATGATTAACTGACCTTTTTTTCAAACATGAAAAATTTTAATTTTTAATATTGTACATTAAATATTTTAGTTTTATCAGGTTGCATAGTGTAGAAATAGAAGTATAGGTATTAATGTTTTACTATTGTTTATTGTAAGCTGTACAAATCAGGTATATATTTTGAAATATTACTAATAAATAATGTAGACTGTATAGTTTTAAAATTAATATTTTTACTATTGATAATCAGAAAAATGAATACTAAATTATAACAAAGTTGAACGATGGAAAATTTTACAAATGTTATCAAGTTACAAATTTTATTTTTGTGACTAATTTTGTAAAAGATCGACCCTATGTCATCGATGGGTTATGTCAAAAGACTGTGATTATATATATTTAATAGGGTTTAAAATCAACATAAAAAGCAATTAAACACTCATTTAAGTGATCAGTGTTTTGCTAAGCCTGATCCAATCTTAAAATTAAGTGCCAAAGAATATTGCAAAAAAAATTATTTACCAAACATATTAAAAAAAAAGTAATACAAAACTATACTTTATAGTTAATTTTTTTATAAATGCTGTAAAGTGCTCACAATTCAAAAATTCTCTTTTGGCCTTATCATACTGGAAGATTCTTATAAATCATTATTTCACTGTAAACTTTTTGTAAACCTTTCAATTGTTATTCATAAAAATAAAACTGTATTATTTATAGTACAGAAATGTTTAAACTTTGATTTACACAGTTTTTTATTGTTGCTGCTTTAATTTATTTTGTATAAAGTGTAGTTTTCTATGTTATTGTACTTATGAATTAAACATAAAATGCTACCTCTTTATTATTTTTCTTCCTTACATCCCATCAAAAATCTAAGCAAATATATTACTTATTTTTAAGTAAAAAAGTAGACTGTTTCTTAATTTAAATTACTAAATTTATTTGATTTTTTACTCTAAACAAAACGGTGCAAGGTAACAAGGAACAAATGGTAATTTATTATGCTGTAAAATTACAGTTTAAATGTTATTGCAAATTGTGTGGTTATCCCCATTAAAATTTCACCTACTCCCTCACACTTGATTAGGGGTTGGAGACAATATGGGAGAAAGAATGTGTCAGATTGCTGATACCTTTAACTGTATTTGATAAATAAAACTTTTTTAGTGAAGCACAAAAAATAAATTATGACATTATGTCATCATAAACAATGCTGGTCATATATTGGCCGATCATTGGATTATCATATCGATCATTGGATTATCATATCGGGGATTTGGATATTATAAATCTTCGAAGCAAAAACATAGCATGGGTTATCAAAGAGATATCATCCTACATGAACTACTCTATTGATCGTAGCATCATTCAATACTCCGTTATGTTTTTAGGAAGTGGATAAGATAAAAAAAATTGTTTCCTGAAATCCAGAGTGTTTGAGCAAACCTTAAAATGAAATGAAGTTTGTGTGGATACATACTTAAACTGTTGTGGTGATCCTCAAAGTAGGTAATCGTGTGTGTGAGTACTGTATTTACATTTTAATTATAACACTTGTAAATCATGTAAACAGACTTATTTAAATCTTAAATTGCTTACATTTAACATTGCCCTTCAGTAAAAACAAAAATTAGAAAATTTTATGAGAGACCAAAAATTAATTTAAATTTAAAAATAGTTTTTTTACTAATACGACCAGCATCTATATTATTTTATTTGGAATAGCTACCTAGCTCAGTAAACTTATACATTTAACTTTTTATTTGAAAAAAAAAATAGAAGGCTCTAAATTTCATATTTTATTAGTAATATATTTTTTATCATATTTCTGTATTCATTTTAAAACGTTTTAGTTTTTCTACACATTATTGTCACTTTATATATATCATTTTAGCATTTTGATGCCCATTATTTTTCTATACCATAATTAAATTTGTACAATCCAATGTTTTGTCTTGAAATGTAATATTTTAATTTATTTTCAATTAATCCTTTTGTTGATTTTTAGAGGATATTTTGTAAAATATTCAATTAACTTCCCAACTAATACAGTACTTCTTTTACCAAAATTATTAACTATATGAATCCATTGAAACAAGATTTGTTACATTCTTCAGCAATATAGTAACACATCATAAATAATTCTTATCAGTTATTTTGAGTGATAAGTGCTGCATTTCCTACATAATCTAAATGGCTTGAATTATTACTATAGAAATATTTTAATTCATATTTCAACACTTGTTTGTTTGGTTTCATTAACTGTTTATGTTATGGTCCTAACAAAACAAAGTGTCAAAACACAGATTAATTCTTATCACTGTAGATGAATCAAGATTCTTATCAATGTCAAATTAAGTCAGTGTTACAGCAAATGATGTAAACATAACCCTGTTAGTGATGAGTTGTGAATAAAACATGTTTTGTGATTTTACCAGGTCATTAAAGGAAATTGAAGCAATAATATGACAGAGTAAGTACAAAAATAATAAATATATTTAAAAGTTATTCTTAAGTTGGTATGTAAGAAAGCAAACATTTATCATGTTTAACAGCAGCTCATTATGTCGGTAATTGAATTAAGTTCTATTTACTCTAAAAACAAAAACAAAAAAATAAACAACATCAGCAAAAACACATACTTTCTCCCATACTTATCAGTAACCCTTATGGGCAAACGTGGGAAAACAAAAGTTGTGAATAGCGTTTGAACCAATTTTTAAAGCATTGGAGATTGTAAAATTTTTTTTACAGTTAATAGGACCTTGATGTACTAAAATTTTATAAAAATGGTGTGTTTTCCTAAAAATCTGATTTTTATATTATTTTTCAGTTTTAGACTGGAAAATCTTCAGTTATAAATTCCTTGAAAATAAAAAAAACTCCTGAAGATACTATTAGTATTAGTGTATACCAAATGTAATCAAAATTGGTCAGGTGTAGCTATAGTCTGTAGCTCTGTACAGTTATAAACATACAAACAGACATCACTTCGAAAACCACTTTTTTGGGTTCAGGGTGACTCAAAATTGACATTTCTACTCAAAATTTAAACTCAATTTTGAGGAAAACAATACTTTTGCCCCTTTTACATAAAATAATTAAAATGAATTTGAATGGAATGTTTCTAATGTTAGTATCCTATTCTCCCACAATGGTACCAGGGATAAAATATACTTCTTTACAGATTTATGCTCCCTTTAAATCAGCTGAAGGTAGTATTAAGGTAGGTTTCATTCTGATAAGTAGCTATGGTGTGTTTTTATTGTTGCAAGTTACTTGTTATTATACCAAATTAAAGCATATTACAATCGGGAGACGGAGGTCGTCCCATAATCCTACCCGGGTATTGGTGAGGCTAATCGCCTGATTTATGGCCTTTCCTCTTCCTGGCAGTTGAGGGGTAGCAAGCGCTAGAGTGGGGGTAGAGCGAGATAGAAGATGGAGTTTGTTGCCCCCAGCGACACCGGACGTCTGACGTTCCCAGAAGGATAGGGTTGACATTACAACAATTCGACGCAAGAATTTGAATGGACTTCCGTTAACAAAAAATGCATGAAGGGAATCAGTGTTTAGTACTAGGAAAGGTAAAGGAAATATAAGTGATTAGCGTACAAGGGTTTAATTTGCTATTTCTTAGATATTCCTTACGTAGGGTCACTTTGCAGGGAAGTAACTGCGAGAGTGTGATTGACCTCAATTGCAACCTAACAATTGTTTTGATTTTACGTGGTAGCCTCATAAGCGAACATCTTTAACACAAAAACTAAGGCAACGCTGGTGATACAACTATTGGTCATAGTTTATTTCGTTGAGTCGTAGGCCCTAAATTAAGACTTATTTGTTTATTAATTGAAAGATTTGTTTATACAAAATAATAAAATCACAGTTTTGTACGATATTGAACAAGTTTTATTCAAATCTTTACTGCAAACGTCACATTCCAAATACCAATTGTGTGACGAGAAAATACGTCATCTAACCAGTACTCCTAATGATGTTGATGAAAATATATTTCTGGTCATTTATGATCTAGTAGTGAGTTTGTTATAACAATTCTGTCGAACTATAGGGTGTTAAGTAACTCTGTACCAACCTTTTAGAATATAATTTCTTTGTTAATAACGAATGTATAAATACAGTATCACATTTAAAGCACCTGTAAATCAATGGTTACACACAGAGCCACCATTTTGTTTTTTTTATATGCATGTTACTTAAAATTTTAAATTGTAAATAAATGTTAATGCTAGTTTAATTAGTTTTGCAAGAATATATTACAATTTATAAATTTAAAATTTAATATGGCAGCTATTTAAACATTTTTAACAGTAGTAACGTTATACCAGTAAATCTTAAAATAAACACAAGAATGCTTTTTACTGTAAATTCTGACACAAACGTAATGACACATCGACGTAGAAAATCCAATTAAAAATGACCGAGATATGGCATTTTTGTGGTCTGTGTCTAAAAAACTATGATAGTGCGTGTGGTATAAGTACTTGTCTGCAACTATGTGACCAACAAACCAATATGATAGAATCATAAGAACTAAATATATACTACGCGACACAAAAACAGTCATACCAGTGTTATTTTTTATCAGGTTTTCTATCTTTATATGTTACTAGCTGTACCCGCGGGCTTTGCCCCGTTTAACTTCATATGTGAGCTCGTTCGCATGGCTCAATCACGTCCTGGTTGAAGTTCGTTCGCTACGCTCACTCACCTTTAGATTGGAGCTTGTTCGCTGCGCTCACACGTCCAGGTTGAAGTTCGTTCGCTACGCTAACTCACCTTTAGGTTCGAGCTCGTTCGCTGCGCTCACTTGCCTTCAGGTTAGATCGTTTGCTACGCTAACTCGCCTCCGGGTTGAAGTTCGTTCGCTACGCTCACTCACCTTTTGGTTGCAAATTAGCTGTTGTCATAAATTAAAAAACATAATAGTGCTGCACTCTGTTGGTAATCCTTATAACTTTAATGCTCTTGAACATCACAGAACAGAACCAACTTGTTTAATTGAAACAGCTGTTATGATTCATTAATTCCATTTAAATATGAGTACTCATTAGGTTAACATGGGAAACTCCAGAGCCACTGGGGCGGAGCCCGAGAGTCCGATCAGAATAAAAACCACTTAGTTTTCCTATTTAATGCCTAAAGAATCAGTGTACCAAATTTCAGCCCCCTAGGTAAGTGGGAAGTGGGAGAATTAGTGATGAGTGAGTGAGTCAGTCAGTCAGTCAGTCAGTGAGGGCTTTGCCTTATATATATATAGATTGAGTTTGTCTTGAAGGTAATAAGGTACTAGTGGAACCCCGTCGAAATCGACGGTTAATCTTGAGGTTTTATGTAAATTCAGCTAACTGCGTTGGATAGAGTGAAGTCATTAAAATCTTAGTTATAAGAAGGGACGATAAGCAATAATAAGTATGACGATTGTGTTCCCTAAAAAACGTGATTGATGAATTCGTTTAACACAATATTTCCTACCTTTCTTTTTATCGGCTTTAGGTTGCCTAAAAGGTTTTTTAGGAGTCTTATAATTGTTTCTTCATGAGTTTGTTTCATACCAAAGCCACTTTCACTATATGGGAGAATGAGTTCATATAATTAGTCTATCATGTTACGCAAAGAGTCAATATTTATTACTGACCATTAATTCAATCTGCTTTAGGAAAATCATTCAGATTGTATCCGGATTTATAAGTAAATCTTCATCAGTTTTTTTTTATAAAAATATCTGATTCTTCAGAAAGCAGTAACATTCTTACTTCGATCTCAGCAATTTTAAATCCTTCTCTTGCCACATCGACCTATGTATTTAATTATCCTGTTCTTACTTGATAGTTCATTAGCTTATGGGGTAGTTTTGCCTTGGCCATATAGATCACATAAAGCTGTGCATGTATTTCGTGGATACGAATGAACCATAATTGTAAGAAATTTTATCACAAATCTTGAACATTTGCGGAACCAAATCCATAACCTAGTCCAGCATTGGTAACACATTATGCAAATGCGATGAGGATGAGATGTGATGACACTGTTGTGTTTCCGAATGTTTTGTATGTAGTGAGGTTTAGATGCGTTGTTCAACCTAGCTACATGTGTACATCAAAGTAAAAACTGTGTACACATTTTTTTAAATACCTAAATAAATTGACATAGTTCATCTACTTTATCAAAACCATAGACTCCGTAGTTAGTCTATTCCAAAACTTGATCACAGCTCTCATCCTCATCGTACTCATCTATGATACAATTTTCAACCCGATTATCAAAAACTGTTATACCAATAAATTAATCTCAGGCGTTCTTTCTTGAATTTAAAAATAAATGGTGATTGAAAGTAAGAAAAAATGCAAGTGCCAACCTTACAATATGTATAAGCTAACCCGATAAGGAATAGTTATATGTTCCTTTGAAATTTATAAGTCAAACTTATTTCATAATTTAAAATTTTCTAAGAGCAATAAAGCATTGATTTTTGAACAAAACATTTCAAACGTATCATAAATTCATCAGTTTGTTGAAACTATAAAAAAACTTGCCATGCAGTGGAGAATCCATTTAAAATCATAAATAATAATGTAAACATTTAATTTTGACAGTTTCAGTAGACCTTTGAATACAATTTTAATATGAACAGCTGGTTCATTAAAAGTAGTGTAAAATTATCCATATGGTTGAAATGTAAACAAAATTGCAGAGTGAACTTTAAAGGCCTCTGGGGCAGAGCCCCAAGGAAATTTACATCGTTTCTCTTTTGAGGGCTCACCTACAGACTAATACCTTTTCTTTAGACACCCATACCAAGTTTCTACGCCCAGCCGTGTTCTCAAATTAGCTGTGACAAAATCCTCGTTTTCCTCCATAAGAATAACATGGGATGGGAATTTAAAGGCCACTGGGGCAGAGCCCCGAGGGAATTCTCCATGTTTCTCTTTTGATGGCTCATCTACAGACCAGGACCTTTCTTTAGACACCTCTACCGGGTTTCTACGCCCAGCGGTTCTCTCAAAATAGCTGTCACAAAGAAAAACAGTTTCAAATTAATATATAGATTTTTTTGTGAAATATTAATTGTTTAGTATAAATGTAACAAATTTGCCAATATTAATTTAACTATCAATTAACAACCATCATCAAGGCAAGCCAACTATGAGTCTACTGTATTATTCTCCATACAAATAAAATAGCAATTTTAAATTTACAAATCGTCACTAATAACCCTACAAAAACACTTCAATATATATATTATATTAGTTGTTTTATAAGATTTACAAACGTAACCATTTAAACAAAAGTTCGTATTAAATAATAAAATATTTGGCTTTTTTATGAATAAAATACTTCTTTTTCAAATTTGACCATAATTTAACCATTATATTAGTAATAATTTGTTCATAAAGAATCAACAGTTTACTTAAAGTTCAGAATGTATGTACTGAGAGGTCTAAAACACTA